TGCTACCTGCTGGCCCCAATAATGCTTTTTTCTTTCTTTTTTTTAATTTTTAAAGTGATTTATTCTTATTTTATTTACTGTTATTTTGTTACGTGCACCATCATACCTCCTCGCTGACTGAGCCAAGTCGTGTGTTATGTGATGAGGCCCCAGGTGTTAACTATTATTATTTTACTGTTTACGGTTATTATTTTATTTGTCTAGAGAAAGGCAGAAAAAGAACAAAAGGGAAGGTGAGAAAGCAAGCTGTTAGGTCCGGGATTTGCCAGCTCCTAATGCTTTTTTCTTAAAGTTTGTTTTTTTCCTGAGGCGGGCAGGTGGCGTAGTGGTTAAGGCACTGGACTCCCACATGGCCGACCCTGGTTTGAGTCCTGAACCTGGTGGCTTGCTTTCTCAATTTCCCTTTCTCTCTCTCTCTCTCTCTCTTTCTCTGTCTCTGGTCAAATTTAAAAAACAATAATAACAATTAAAATGAAATAAATAACTTAAAAAAAAATGTTTGTTTCTGCTATGAGAGAAGGAGAGGCTGGCAAACCCCCAAAGGGTCTTCATGCCTCCATCCACCCCAAATCTCAGCCAGCCTGGACCAGTGGCCTGCTCGTGCCCCCGTGTGCTCAGGGAGGTTCCAGGACATAGACCAGGACCTTTTCCTTGTGTGTCCTGCTGTGTTACCACTGCGCCCCCTTGTGGCCCCACTTGTGGCCTCACATAACACAAGACCTACCTCAGTCAGCGAGGAGGTATGATGATGGCATACGTAACAAAAGGTCCAGGAACGGAAATAGCCTGGGTTGGTTGATTTCGCAGTTCTGGATACCAACGGGGACGAAGGAAGTGGCAGTGACGCTGGTTGGGCGTCCAGTCGCAGCGACACGTGGGCCAACATAGACTAGATGCAGAACAAACAGGGTTGGGGGACCGCCATACAGGAGGGGTTGGGAGTGCTGTGTCACTGTGGCCTAGTGGCAGATGGACTGAAGAGCTAGGCCAAGTCCTTCACGCCTTTGGGTGTTCTTGGAGAGTCTCTGGAGAGACTGAGGTGTGGAGTGACACAGTCAATTTTGCCTCCAGGGTCATTGCCACAGTTATAGTGGCTGGTTAGACATAGCCAGGCCAGGCCCCTGCAGAGGGCCTAGGGGCAACCACTAAGAGATGGGGCTGGGGGAGTGAGGGGGCAAGGAGGATGAGGCACAGGCAACTTGTTGAATGACAAGGAGAGGCTGTTGGGGGCTCAGGCGTGCCTGAGTCTGGTACCTGGACAGCCAGAAGCCTTTGCAGGGATGTGGAGTGTTTGGGGCCAGAGGTCAGGTTGGAAGTCTGCCTGGGGTTGGAGGCCTACCCTGGGCATCCTAAGTCAGAGACTTTTGCCCTGATGACTTGCATTGTCAGCCACAACTCTGTATCTCCCAGAATGACAGACTTAATAGTGGTCGACGTAGTCAACTGTGGTTCGAGTCCTGGACCCGGCGGCTTAGAACTCATATTGGGTGCATATGCATGCATGCCCAAAATCTCAAAAGAATAGAGGACATTAGATTGCGGCGTGATCATTCCCCTTGGGGGGGTGATCTTTTTGCTTGCTTTCTCTCTGCCTCTCCAGCAAGCATATGCACCCTATAGCAATCTCTTTAAAAAAAAAAAAAAAGAAGGGAACCAGCAATTAGCATAATGGCTATGTCACTGGACTCCCACGTAGTCGACCGCGGTTCGTGTCCCAGACCCGGTGGCTTAGAACTCAGGCCGGGCGCGTGTGCGTGCGTGCCCAAGATCCCGAGAGGAGAATGGAGGAGAAGGAATTGCGGCA